CCTAACCAAAGCTCGTGAAGAGCAGACTAGAGAAAACCAAGCTGGTTTTCGACCTGGACGTGGTTGCATAGACCAGATATTCACCCTACGTCAGGTTCTAGAACATAGACACAAATTCAGACGTCCCACAATAGTAGTATTTCTTGACCTTAAGGCGGCATTTGACTCCGTTGATCGTGAGGTTCTATGGCAATGTTTGTCACTGAAAGGAGTACCAAAGAAGTACATTAACCTCATAAAGGCTCTCTACTCGAACACAACTGGTCGAGTTAGAGCCTATGGCGAACTGTCATCAGAACTGATTACCACAAGTGGCGTTCGTCAGGGCTGTCCACTCTCCCCATTCTTGTTTAACTTTGTCATTGACATACTTTTAGAGATAGCACTTTCATCAGCTAAACCTCCAGGAGTTGAACTTTTACCAGGAGGCTCACTTGTTGACTTAGAATACGCCGACGACATAGTTTTACTCGGTGAAGACGCTGACAACATGCAGAGTCTTCTGACTACTATAAGCAACTATGCAGGCATGTTCGGAATGCGATTCTCTCCCTCGAAGTGCAAAATGTTACTTCAGGATTGGGTTGCATCGACACCTGAACTATTGATAGGGAGTGAAGTAGTTGAGCGTGTAGACCACTTCACTTATCTTGGGAGTCTCATCAGCCCTTGTGGTCTGGTATGTGACGAAATCTCAGCACGGATACAGAAGGCTCGTCTAGCTTTCGCCAACTTGCGTCATTTATGGAGTAGGCGAGATATCCGTCTAGCAACCAAAGGACGGGTTTACTGTGCAGCAGTTCGCTCCGTCCTACTTTATGGCAGTGAAACATGGCCAATAAGAGTAGAGGATATTCGTAGACTACTAGTGTTCGATCATAGGTGTCTTCGAAGCATTGCTCGTATATCCTGGGACCACCGGGTAAGTAATGCAGTTGTTAGGAAACGAGTGCTAGGTAGGGATGGCAAATCGATTGATGAAGTAGTGAAACTTCATCAGTTGAGATGGCTAGGACATGTGTTACGTATGCCCGACCACCGACTGCCCCGACGTGCAATGTTTCATGGTGTAGGAGTAGGTTGGAAGAAAGCTAGGGGTGGCCAGACCAAAACGTGGCACAAATCAATGAAGTCACTGACAAGTGGACTGGGCCATGTTGGTAGGTGTAGACTACCTGGTTGGGATTCGCGAGATGACAGCAACCGATGGTTAGAGACCTTGAATGACATGGCTCAAAATCGTTTGCAATGGCGAAGATGCATCCACTCTTTGTGTTCTACCAAATTCTAATCTTCTGAATTCCTCATGTCTTTATCTTTTTCTCTTTCCAAATTTATTTCACTGTACTATACTCCTTCGATAATTTCTTCAAACCCTAATCTTTTGGATTTCTGATTATACTCCTACTACTTCTACCACTATGGGAATTGAATCGACAACTGCATCTCTGTGCTAATGTGGTATGGCGACTCGAACTGATGTACGTACGTACGAAGTTCTACGTTGTGACTGACTGACTGACTGACTGACTGATAATAATTATATGCACACTAGTGACTGGATTCAAGAGGTATTTCTTGGAGTTCAAGTGAGAAGCAGTGACCAGTGGAGTTTAATCGGATCTGTTGTGAGATAGTAACTCACTGAAGACAATGGTGGACGTTGTTTAATTTCGTGGATCGGTTGAAAGTATACATTAACACCGTTGGATGCCGGCTCAGCGGTCTAGAGGTTAATAGCTCGCGTGCGAGACTGATAGGTCTTGGGTTCGAATTTCGCGAAGCGGAATCGTGGATGTGTACTGCTGAGGAGTCCGACAATGGGGCGAAATGGCCATCCAGTGCTTCCAGGTTTTCAATGGTTATCTAGCTTCAATTGACTCATAAATTCAACCATAAAACATAATGTGTTAAAACAAAACAAAAAGATAATTTATTGAAATGTCTAGATGGCAAGAACAGGTAGCTCAGATATTCAAGCAAGCCGCCTAACACGTGTTTCAACGAATGAATTGAACGGAGAGTTATTGATCCTAAGAATGTTAATTTTAGAAGATAATAATGGGAAGTGGGACATAATCAAATTAATTTAAAGCTCTTCATTTCCCTTGTATTATGGTATCTCGGAGGTTCTCACCCCGAATAAATTTTTATCGATCTATGAAAGATTGTTTTTCGAAGAAGTCACATTCAGTGAGATCTAATTATATTATAGAAGTTAGAAAGAAGTGCAATGATGAGGCAGAATATTCTGGAACAGATAACTGTAAGAATATTTGCCCACCCTTCAGACAAGTTCTAAATGGTTTTGACCGTCGTACTAAATATGAACCTGTCATCTTATCTTTACAAGAGAGTTCTTCATACTGGATTCATACCTATTTAAGAATATAGTTCTTAATTGTATTTACAAACATTTTCTTAGAAGTAGATTCAATAGAACCCAGAGATTATACTCCTTATTTCTAAAATGTTGTCTGTGTTTTACTAAATTGGTTATGATTCTCTTCCTAATACATTAAATGTATATATTATTCACATTAGTCATTAGAAAAAAAAAGAGTAATCTAGTTGACGTCTGATAATCACGTAAACTATTTAAGATTTGATGGTAAACATGAATTTACTTGTGAAAAAGTTTGTAATTCATCTATCTCATATATTTTATGAATCATAATTTAAATGAGTCATTGTTATGTTGATGTCCTTTGTTTTTTCTCTTATGAAGATATGATTCATTTTGTTTTGGTCAATAATATAGATAATAAGATAATTTTTTTATCTTTCGAAAAAAAATAAGTTTTTTTAGCTTGCCCAACTAAGTAGGAAAAAGTTGATTGAGTTTACAGGGGAAAAACTTTGGTAAAGATGTGTGTAACTAGGATCACTGAGACACTCAAACCAAATGGAGACGTTAACAGTTTATTTTGATAAAATTCGTGTATCAGTAGGGATTTCAATTTAATTATACTTAATGTAAAGCAGGCTGATACGTTAGCAATTGCACTTTCCTATCCCCAAACGTCGTAATAACCCAAAACCATCGCAATCTTTTTATTTATTTATTTATTTAAACACATAAACACTGATATAAGGAGGCAACAAATATATATGTGACACACAAATCATTCGATTCATGAGAGGGCTGGAATATTCATCGCATTCCCAAATCAAAGCAAGTGGTTTACTTAGTTAGTCACTACTGAAGCCTTTAACCTGAAAGTCTAATCCATCAGGCAGTAGAGCAACGTTAAGAGATGAAGCCTTATAGTAACCAGTTTATGGCCACTCTTAGGCCATCTTAGAGATAATCCAGTCAGGCACCAATAGAAAGATTTCTTATTCCATTTATCTTATTCCATTACATTTATCTGTATACCACTGTCCTTTCACATAGTTCATATTTACTATAGAGTGGGGACTAGTCCAGTTTTCATCAGTGTAGGCAGAGTGGAAGTACAGCCTGAACTCTTTTTAGCCGCTTACGTTAGTTCATGAAAGAAAGTTCCACTATCCCCGGGGCACTTCTCAGAGATGTGAGTTTGACTGTACCCCCAGTTTCAAAAATATGCCACATTAAAATGCTAAAGGAATCTAATCTATTGTTAGACTGTGTATAATCGTCAACTTGTTAAATTCAAACTGATCTGGTCGATTTATCGCTAAATCACCGTGGTACAAGATTCGAACTGATAATTAGATAGTTTGTTTTCATTCATTTAGCCTGAATAAAAAAACATTAGCTCTTTGTAAACTTCAGTCCCACTGAGGAGAATTTCATGATATTTACTTTAATTGTAAACTTTGAATCATACATATACATTTCCAGTCGTTTTTTTCTCTCCGATTGGTGATTGTATAAGAGGCTTTTTACAGCTTTTCTGTTTTTTTTTGAACACATTTGGATAAAGGTTATTCTTCACATTTATTCTAACTGATTATTTCAGTCCAGTTAAATTGATTACCTCCTGACTATAATTGATATTTTAATTTATGAATGTTACTTGGAAACTTGTTTCATTCATGTAAATAGTTGTGGTTATTACTATTGAAGACAGTAATAACAAGCATTTAAGCAGAATAATATGAATTCATTTTATTTCGTTTGGTTCTCATCAACTACTTACAACCTGTAATATTTAAAAACCATAATTACAGAATAGGTTTAAATTACTTCTATGGAAGAGTTTATCTGAAAGTTACTTTGAGGACACATCAGTGTACTATAGCGAAGATGTAAACAATATTGAATAGATCGAATAAAATATTGTAAGATGTACCTAAAATAGAAGAACGTTCTATTGCATTGATGGTAACAAAGATCCAAAGGGCTTTAAACAAGTGGTTACGTACTGAGTAGACGCTGATAATACTTAAGGATAAAATGATTAAAGTTCAGTTAATTAAAATAAGATTACCAATCTAGAAAGCATACTAAAAAGTACGTTATTATGTAAATAATTGAAAGAAAGAATTGTATCAAATTTTACTATGCAATATAGGAACTTTTGTGTCATTCAAGACAGAAAGAATAAAAACTCTCTTTTGGAACACATAAATCATGTTCCTGACACCTGATAGCGATAGCTTCAGGAAACTTGAGAAGACTGAGGTTTGACCATTTATTTATCACCTTGAATGATTTTAAGGTGCTGATATATTGTGTGTCCAAGAAACATTCAGTAATTTTTGTATTTATTACTATTGGTAAATAGTTTAAACGTGTGTAGTTTGCGTTGAGTATTACTTTTAGACATGAGGATATCAATCATTTGATTCACATATAATAGACTTATCCATAAAGTGGTGCATATTTTATTGAAGTATCGTAAAAGTGATAAAATATCTGAGCTTTTAATGGGTTCGATTCTTAGATGACGTCCTACTCTACAAACTTTCCTAGACTTTTCTTTACATACGACTAAGTGGTATTTTTAGCAACTGTTTTTAAATCAACTTACATCTTGATAATTTTACATTTAACTGTGTTATACCTAAAGGTGGATGATTCTTGTCGACTTGCTGGGACTTTGCGCATTTATATTAATCTTATTAAACCGGTGAAAATGTCTTTACGACGTACATTGGATATGTTTCCATCAAGTGCAACAGCATCACCCGAACCAAATAGTCCAACTAAAGTAAATTTAAATGAAAATGGGGATGAGAATAATGCTGTACCAACACCACCACGTTTAGTTTCATTTTTCCTACCAAGAGGTACTTCAAAAGTAGTTTATGTGACAAGGTAAGTGCTTTTTACTTTTTACAAAAGTAAACAGATTATTTTGGTTGAGACCATGAATTTATCAATGTTAGACCACCATTGAAAACCTGGAAGCAATGGACAGCCGTTTCGTCTCTTTATGATACTCCTCATTAGTACACGTCCATGCGATATTATCTATAAAGCCGAAATCAATCTCTATAATCCCCCAGTGTAGTTAATAATGTGCTGCCTAGTGGCTTATCTCAAGAGGTAATCCCAGGAGTTCTAGTGCAAATCTGTGACCTGCGGATTTCAACCATATCGAACTTGAAGAGGTATTAGCAAGTGCATTGAAAGATTATTGCGTGATATTACGAATTGACTGAAGGTAAACAAGCAAGCATTAGTTCAGTGGTCTAGAGATTAAACATTTTCATGCGAGACCAGTCATCGGTTTGATTCCTCGATGTGTGGGTGTGCATGGAGAGTGTTAAGTAATAGTCCCATACTGAGACGAATCGTCTGTCCAGTGTTTCCAGCTTTGGAATGGTGGTTTAACTAGAGTCTGTTCATAATTTAATTTACGAAAATCATTTATCTCACCGTTACAAGTGAAAGTCCCTAGTGCTCTTCTAAAGTTTACACTTGACTTTTAACAGATAAACTTCGGCTTTCATCCTGAGACGTCATAATTCTTCCTTCAACTCGCAGAGGAGAGTTTAAATAGTTTGAATTATTAATTCCGGTTAGCTTTTTTTTAGCGAGTTAATTTTTCTACGGGATGAGGTCGCTAACCTCATACCCAACCCTCCTCGTTTGTGTGGGCTTGGGACCGGCAGTAACTCTAGGAGAGCTACAGGCGGAGTTGAGCACATTGTCTATGACGACTTATTTACGTACTGATTTGAGTACCTGATATTTATTCACGGAAAATACTGCTGCGTGATCTCATCTATACCTACATTTATCTTATGGAGTGTATGAGCCTCGGTTTATGTGTTCTATATGTGCATGTATCGTATACTTGCGAACGAAATCCTCTATGCCTACATGTACTCGTGGGATGAGTGAACTCGTTTGCGCATTCTATGATTACATGTAACTCATATTAGCAATCACGACCATCTATGACTATATGTATATCATTGGAATGTACGTTTCTTTGATATTTGCATTTCAGTATGTGCATATACAACATACTCAGGAAGGTTCCACGTTTCTCCACTGTTGAACTCATTACTAGCTCATCAGCACTTTCGGTTTGTATCACCATGTTAAATAAGATGGTAATGATAGGCTTACGTTATCGCTAAACGATTTGCTTATTTTTAAACATCAATTTAATCAATTTTATTTAGTTTTAAAACTGAATCTTGTTCATGGTTGAAATCTTTGTAACAATCATCATAAAATGTTATGACTGATAAATTTCAACTAATTTGACTTTATAGTCATTAAACTCTACTTCCAATACGACGTGTAGACTAACTATAAAAACGTTTTTTAGGATTATTAAAGCTAATCTTCGATATATTCTTAGCGACACTACATTTACGAACAGTTGAGTTGCATTTGTACACAATCTGTCTTCTTTCAGTACATAAAAGGGTGTAACTAGTAGGCTGTAGTACATACATATTTTATGATATATATATATGATATATTCCTGATTACTGTAGCAACCATATCAAAAATTTAATTAATATCTTTAAGAAAATATTTCGTCTTGTTATTTAAGATGATTTAAAATGGTTTGTGAGTATGTTTTTCAGCTACTTTTGAATTTTAGCATGTTTACTGTTGTCTGTTATACAAGCAAGATATATGTTGTAATTACATCATATATTGTATCAATTGACTCAGTTAGTCATGCCCTGGTACGGCTGAGGGCGGGGAGATTCAGCTCACCCTCTCAAATTACTCTCACATGGCCACGCATATACAGCTACTGTCAGGGAAGTCTTATTCACCACCTCGTGACGAGGGTATTATTTGCTCTATTGCCTTATGGATTAGACTTCCAGGTGTGGCCCACTAAGAAAACTACCCGTTTCGATTTGGGCACCTGATCAATATTCCAGCCCTCACATATATATTTGTTGCCTCTTTGTACCAGTGTTTATTTGTTTAAATAAGCCCCCAAATGCCCTGGTACGGCCGAGAGTGGGGAGAGTCCGCTCTCCCTCTCGAAATGCTCTCACATGGCCAGTGAATATATAGCCTCTGCCAGGAAAGTCCTACTCACTGACTTATCGTGACGGGAGTGTTGTTTACGAAAGTGAGAGGACGAAAAGCGAATGTCCGGCGCTTTAACCGGGTTGGTGGACAGAGAAAGTTCACCTAGGGGAGTTGAAGAACCCTGATTTCAAACCAATGGTCACATGGGCTCCAGTATCCTGAAGGAACAAATGGCGTATGAACCAATTGTTGGTCACCAGCTACCATGGGATTGCATCTCCTTACGATGCTCCACTGCCTTGTGGATCAGACTTTTAGGTCAAAGGCTCGGGGTGTGGTCCCCTAAGAAAACCACCTGCTTCATTCTGGGCACCTGGGCAGTAACACAGCCCTCAAGCAAATCGAATGAGATTTGTGAGGTGCTTATTTATCTGGCGCTTTCTTGTACCAATATTTATGTGTTTAAATAAATAAATAATAAATCAAGTGTGAGTCAGATGATAGACTTGAATGTCCTGGGTTCGACTTGTGGTCGCGTTAAGTATGAGGAGTGATAAGGTGGTGCTTCATGCTTCAACACGACTAATCGTTTGATTTTTTCGTGTTTCCAATGATTGTTTAATTACAGTTACCTCATGGTTTAAGCTGTGAACACATGTACTCATTATTTATTTATTCCAGTTCTACAACTTCAGCTAACGCTATTCAATCGTTGTTAGATCGATTTCACATACAAGAATCTGCTCGTAAATTCGCGTTGTATGAACATACTTTAGAAGGTAGTTCAAGTGAGTTGGGTGATATTTCTTTTAAAAAGTGCTTTTTTACACTTCGTTTCTGTAGGTAGTGATTTTTCTCATTTATTTTCTAGTGATTTAAAAAGTTTTCTTCTCTGATACTTTTTAAAGGTCGGGTTTGTCTTCTAATTTTTCAATATTGTCTCTGCATGTTCTGACAAATTTATTTCAGTTGAAGTTGTTCTTACCTTACATTATTATATCGGCGATTAAGGAAATTAACAAAATGAGAAATAAATAAGAGTAAATAATATCAACTTCCTTGGGAACATCTGAAGATGCGAAACCTAAAATTACTGAATGAGGAAGGGGACGAAGAATTCAAAGCATTGGTGGGGGAATATTTGAAGCTTAGTTGGATGATTTTCGTTGAGTTTCGTCCTCTAAGTTAGACTACTTAGCTCTCGAGTTTTCATTGTTCTTCTGAATGACATCATAAACAAATATAGGACCAATAATATGAGATTAAATGGAGAGATAATCAAAGTAAAAGCACGGACGCAGACAAATTAAAGGTCAACAATAACTTACCAGGATTTAGGTCGACAGAACAATCTGCTACCCATATTGTGATGTTTGCTATTTGTGTCTACAAAAATAGGTAGTATGTAACACCGATTGAAAGTGGAAAGCGTGGCAGCAGAAGGCCAAGAAGATCGAGTTGAAGAAAATAGAAAGGAACTGTGAACTGAAAGAATCCTACCGAATGTGAAGGACAAATGATAAAAATTTGCAAATGAAGTATTCAATGTTCTCATATTGTACTAAGATGTTCTGTAATTTTGTATTAAAAATGTGATGATTGTCCCCAACTGTGTCCTCGTTCACAACAATATGTGGAGAAATTCAAATACTTCACTTCTACCTGATGATGTTGTTGATAAGGACAAGAAGAAGACTTTTTTTAAATGTATAAATATTTTTCTATTTTGTTACATTTTATAGTTAGCGCTCGAAAACTTTCTACAAGTGAATGTCCTCTTCTATTATTATTAAATTGGGTACGTATAAGTACAAATCGCGAACAATTTTTAGAATTGTTAAAACAAAAACGTATTGTACTACAAGAAAATGATGCTTGTGATATAGAGGTAAGTGGTTTATTTCATTATTCAGTTCGACCTTTTTAACCATTATCTATCTAAGTATGAATTTTGTTGGTGAATTTTCTTTCTCAGAGCTGGATGGTTCAATCGTTAAACTTTCATTGTTCTTCTAAACAATAGCAGCACAGAATTCAAGCAGAAGTTCAGGGAAACAATGAAAGGTTCACGAGTAAAGCATCTAGCTCAGAGAACGAAACTTCACCAAAAATTATCCTCCTGAGCTACAAATCTCTACAATTATGAATTGTTTCATTCTGCTAACCGTTGACTGTTATTCATTAGACTATCGATTCCAATCTTGTTCCACTTACTTCAGTCTCATTGACTGAGTAATGTTATTGGTCATTTCTGAGAGAAGCCGAGTATATGAACCTCAATTTGTTGCATTTCTCATACTGCATATGTGTTCTTAATTAGATAAGTTTCTTGTTGATAAACTTCAAGATTTTAAGTGACTAGTATCAATCGATAGATACCAATTACGTAAATACGTAACACGTAACCACATAATATAAAATAACGTGTAATCGTTCAATTTAATAGCTATTTTGCATCTTGATAGATCAGCGCGCTATGAATTAAACAAGTACGATGTTGATCATTAACAAATGATTAGTTACTGTAACAAGTCCAGATTGTTTGTAACATACTTCGTACCGTAAAGAATATTTCGAATCTTATTTTAGATGAAATTAACCAATGCTATGTTTAATTTCAAATGATCAGTCATTATTTGAACTATAAACATTTTGACAAATAATTTAGTAGTCTCGATTGGTCGGCTTTTTCAAAAGGTGAATTGTTTAATGGTGCAATTTTCTTTATCATGTTCTACCATTATATCATCAGAGCCTACTTCAAGTTGAAAGAGATTATTCCATAAGTATTCAATTCCCCTTCAGGATCAAAAGGCATATCATCTAGATTTATTTCTAGAATTCTGTAACCTCTTGAGTTATACCTTATGTAATAAATCACCCTATTGGCATGTTCCCATTGGTCTATTCGCATGTCTGACCTCCGGATATATATATATATATATATATATATATATATATATATATATATATATGACACAGATCTGCCCGATAATTAATTTTTCTTCCTCTTACTCTTTTACAGTGGAAAGACTTTACTACAGCAGAATTAACAAATTTCCTACGTATACTTGATAAAGAGGAATGTGAATATCGTAATGCTATACTATATCAATATAATTTGTTGCGTAATCAATTAGAACAACGTATGAAACAATTGGTAGTTACAAATCACGTTCGTCATCATCATCATCATCATTCTCATCTTCATGAATCAAATGATGTTATTGGGGATTTTCTACCAGTAGACAATAATAATAATAATAATAATAATAATAATAATAATAATAATAATAATAATAATAATACCACTTCTAACGGACCTATCTATTCAAGATACTATTCACATTCACATCCACATGCACTTGAACAAACAACTGAAGACAATCAGTTACCTATTGGACATTGTAATTGTCATTGTTCTCAATAACTATAGTTTTAATTTGTAATCACTTACGTGTATCCCTTTTCACTTGTGAATTGATGAGAGTTTCCATATTGATGATTATTTCAGAAAAAAAATCACATCAATCATCGTATTTAGATTCAGTATTTTTCTTCATTCTATGTTCCCTTATCTTAGTGATGATACTTTATTGTTTAACGGATTTAGTGAAACTACTTTCCATGAGTACTACTATCAATATGATTATTTACTATAATTAATCGACTGAGTGTTTACTGTTGGTAGTATATATTTTCACCTGTTTATTATTGTTATTACTTTGTTGACGGAAATCTAATTCACTTATTCGACTTGCTATTTAAATACGTCTTCTGTTTGAATAATTTGTTACTACATATATTTTTTCTACTTCTAATGTATTTACGACCTCATCTCAATTTGTTTTGATTGTATCGTTCTATTTCTCTGTGTCGTGGTAGTGAATGTTTTACACTGTTTTTTTTTCTCAAAAAAGACATCAAGTGTATTTTTATTTTGTGCTTAACTTCCAAAGTGTGAATAACTGAGACTAGTTGGTCGTGTTTGTTTGGCTAATGAGTAATAGGATTCGTCACCACCTTTGAACTACCCAAGTTGAATTTTGTTACCATTAAAATCATTATTATTATTGTTATCATCATCATCAGTAATTACAGATTGTAAATAAATTTGCCTTTCTTAGTTTCTTGCGTAATTTCCTTGTTCTTTTTCTGAAAACAATACTATAATATCCATTTGATTTTTATTTCTCCTTAGAAAAAAAACTTTCACATTTATTGTGTATGTTTGTTTATGTATGTATGTGTTCGTGTATGCTTCTTTCTGTTGTTGCATAACAACAATTGATCATCTCTTTATACATATTTTAGAAACTTGTGAATCTTACTTGTAACAGTGATAGTACGTGCGTGAATTGTTCACATACTACTGGTTTTAACCTGTTTAATAAATTATTTATCCAGGCTGAAATACACAACACACTAGACATTTTACCTGTGTACAATTTTTTTTTCTATGGGAAAAGAATAATGCTTCACCCTTTACAAATGCTTACATACATTTTTTCTCTTATAATGCTGTTCGCTTTTCATTGTCCCGTTTTATTAATACATTAAACTGTTTACTTGTTTGTTGTGTTGAATTTTGATTTTATTTCTTTATTTCACCTTAAAAAAAAACTCTAGGAAGCAAATAAATACTTTATGAAACAAGTATTGTCTTTTCAAGTGTTTTTTAAATGAAATAATGGGGTTTTCAGTGTTCTTTTTTCAGTTTGGAGATACGAGATTCGAAACCGTTGGTAAATGATTGAGGAACTGAAAAGTTCTCTTCTGAGATGCAGGTACATCCAGCTGACGAGTCCTAAATGGGACGAAACGCGCGTCCTGGATACCACTGCTAGCCACTATCCAACTTTGCTTCTCTTCACTTTATTTCGGAATTTTGAGAATAGCTTTGAATTAATCTCATGAGGATTTAGGCATGTCATCATTGAGCACACAGTGTTATAACGCAACGATCCGAATTTACTAATTATACTGTAATGAACGAAGAATTGGTGCGGATAACCAACCTGTTTTTTACTGCAAAATTACCGAGTGGTTTTCTTGAAACATGAAAATCATACATTAAATACATTATTTGCACATCTTCCATCAGTCATCCTTTATATGCTTCATAATTTCAATTCTCTTGTCATTACAACTGCCCTCTGTTTTCCTTTTTGTTGTCTTTAATTCGATCTTCTCAATCTTCTGTCAGACATCCCACTTCTGATTTGTGTTGCGTATTACTTATATCTGTCAAAATAAGTAGCATACACCTACAACAACTAATTAGATTTCTGATCCTTACACAACAGTGAATCACTTTAATCAATCGTTGCTTGAAAATTCACTGTAGAAAATAAAAATATGAGCATATATAATGACGAAACTATAATGCATTCATAGTTTAATGAAATTTAAAAATACGTGACTTATGTATTTGCTATCGGTTGTATTATACAGTTAATTCAACGTCTGACATTTGTTTTTAAGTCATGCGCTCATTTATATAATTCATACTAGGAATTATTTCTACTTTTGTCAAGATTTCTATGCTGTGATCACGATATCTTTTTTTTTCGTGTCTCAGGTTTTCAGCGGTCATTCTATTGGATTATCGGATGTGTTTTTTTCCCCACTTAATTATACACTACTCTACATCATGAAATTATGTTATTCGATATATTTCAATCGTATCGTTACTTTTAGAACTAGGTATAAGCTGAGGAAATTGAAGCTATTTGACTTTGACTGATGAATTAATTTGAGGCAATTTTATTCGCTTTTAGACAATCTAACAAATATCGAATAATTTTCGTCTTGTGGTATAAATGGCTCTAAGAAAGTATGACTAAAAATGAAGAAACTATATTACTGAATGATATCAATAGATACTTATGTCAATAAATGATGGTCAATAATTTTGTTTACATTATATTTCATCGTTCGTAGTATATCAGTACTGATTATCCTACTTGATGAATCAAATTGTGTTTGTTTCAGTGTTCTGTATCTCATTTAATTTGAGCTAACTAACTAACCTTCCTAATGTAGCGTGTTTGGATAGCTTTCCTGTGCAATTTACCTTTTTCTTATGAAGCTATTTTTCAATTAAGTACTTGTATTGTTGATGATCTATGAATACTTGACTGATATGATCAACTAGATCGGCGTTTATTCAGTCAAACATCATTACTTCTCATCAAATGAGTGTCAAAAATGTAACAATTAACTGAATATCTATAATCTTAATGAAATAAACTTTTAATTTTATCAAGATAATGTGATCGCGTTCCACTTATTAAGTGCCAAATATGTAACCTTAGATTGAAAGGGCATTTATTAAACAACTAGTGTAATTGAGTCATACATTAACATATGTTGTGCTCATATGGTATAGCAACTTGAGCCAGTGTACATTTGTGTCAGTTTGTACGTTGATCATAAGTGAAGGAATGAATCTTGTTGTACAAATCCTAGTTTTAGATTTTGATACTCTTACCGTGTATCAATCTTTACATTTAAATTATTGTATTACAACTAACAACACTATCTAAGTAGAAACCATATTGAACATAAAATATGAAAGCTTTTTAAAGACTGTTGAGTTTCATCGTTTACACATTACGAACTGATCCTTATTAAACAACTAGTTAGGACCAAGATGCTCTGAATAACTGTTTCATCTTAGTGTGGGACTCCAGCAATGCGAATCCATGACTCCATCAGTGGTCGAATCTACGACTTTAAGTCTCACTGAGAGAGGTTAATCCTTAAACTGCTGACCCGGGATTTAGTGGTTTGTCTGTCTAACTTCAATCAATTCACGATATAGCACAACCATCTTTCGATCCCGTCGGTAGTTTCTAAATATTATCAATCATTATATAACTAAATAGAAAAAAGCAGAGATGAAAAAGGACTATTGGAGTTGTTCATCTATAATCTTCTTATTCAAATCCCTATTAAAAGTCATACTATTTTTAATGTAGTAGAGTATTAATTAGGCCATAAAATGAATTACATTTCAAGTTTTTCCCATTAAAACTAATTGCCACTACCATTATCATATAAGTAGGATTATATAAATTGAACAATGATCATTTACAAATTAATTTAAATGAATGCATTTTATATGTAGAAAGTTCATCAGGTATTCGACTTTATGATTAGTATCAGTCATTAATTACTTGTGATAATAATCCATAACATGGTTTAAGTATTAATAGCACTAATGATCAAACGATATCTATTTTAAACATAAAAGGTAAATAGGTAGAGTATGTAACGAAAGAAATGTAATAATCACACCATCTCTGTTACAACAAGTTAGAAAAAATGATTAAAAGCAAGATCATTAATGTTTGTTTTTGTGTTGTACCGTAGGTGATAGAATGAATATTTTTGGTATGTTTTTTTCTTTAGAAAAAAAACATGTTACAATATTATCTGTTCAAAAGAATTTCATGAAATTTCAACCTTAGATATTTGAACAGTCTCCACAAATACCCATTCTGAAAATAATCGTATGCTCATTAGTGACTAGATTCAAGATGGATATCTTGGAATTCTGGTGAGAAGCTGTGATCAGTAGGATCCAATCCCTGTCGGATGGAGATAGTCATCCACTTCAGGCAATTGAGAAAGGGTTGCTCGAGATCATGGATCGATTGAAGATAGTCATGAAGACCGTACGATGCCAGCTCGGTGGTCTACAGTTTAAGCGTTCGCGCGTGAGACCGAAGGTTTTAGGTTTGAATCTCGCGTGCGGGATGGTGGATGCGCACTGCTGAGGAGTCTCATACTAGGACGAAAAGGCCGTCCAGTGATTCCAGGTTTTGAATGGTGGTCTAGCTTAGATCGACTCATGAATTCAACTATTAGAATTTTGTTTAATAAGTTTCTAAAAAGAAAATTTGGTTGGCGGTCAAAATTTTGTATTTTTTTTATCAATTTTTTAATGATTGATAATGTAGGGAATAGTGTTTTACAGTAAATTAAAACTAAGCTTTATATCAACTTTATGTTAGATGTTTGAAAAGAATCCAGATTTACTGTTATTAGATTGTAACCTTAGGGGAGCTGATACTTCCCTGAGGGATTGAGACCCTAGTATCGCAGATTGAGATGTTATCATTAAGCTAATCAAGTGTCGACTGAACTGTAGAATCGATATTCATTTATTCCTTGACATGTCAATTGAATATTTTATATTTATTTATGATTAAGTAGTACGAATTGTTCAAACAATGTTGGTTAATGTTATTGCTTTATTACTTCC